CATCTAACGTGACCTGTACGGCTGAACCTATATCTCATCAGCTATGCCTGCACACGAGTAGGAACAACCTATTATGGTATGTACGACATGGCTGGGTGCAAATAAGTACGCTTAACTGCTACGATCATGTGAAGGCTGCGCGAATAATCGCGGGTCACGTACGAGTTGGAACCACCGAATATGGTCTATACGATAGGGCTGTGCACCAAACTTGGATCTAAAATGAGCGTGCGGTGTGGGAGGTGAACATCATGTGAAGGACTGTACCCTGGCCATGGGCGGAAGCACTAGCACCGGGGTGCAGGATAATGAGCTCTAAATGCATCTATGTATAACCACAAACAATGCATCCACTATCATCAATATATATTCACCTAAAGCTTACATGGGCGTCCCCAGCATCAAGCAACAATATCCATATCTATACTAATGCATACTCTAAAGCATAATGCAATTGACATGACATTTAAAATCATGACTCCATTTAAAACAAATTTCTGGGAAAACGCAAATTCATATATACGTATATATAGAAATCTAAAAACCCACTCACTGGTATGTAGCTGGATCGTAACCCCCGAGTCTCACCTGACTGCATTCGTCCTACGGAAACGTCCCACCTATATGTGAAACCACTATTTTAACATTAATTTAAAATACATAACCAAAACCGTGTAATAACTTCTCATACATTGCTCAATTGGGGTGTTTGAACATACAATCGTGGCCTACTCAACACCACGAGCATCCCCATATTTTTAGAATAATTTTCCAACGTCCTACACGCCCTCACGTGCCAGCCAAGGCATGGCCACATTCACCGGCCACATGGACGGAATCTTTAACGTCGTTAGGGAATATTTTGCTAAATAATAGAATATTTCGTTAAATTTACATGACGTCGTTAGTATATTTCATCAAAGTTGACGGAATATTCCCCTTCCTTATCTGGTGGTTCGCCGGATTCTGGCGCTGATCGCCGGTGTATTGCCGGAAATTGGAAAATTTTCAAATTTAAATATCTCACTCAAATCTCAACCAAATATCACAAATTTTACATGGATTTGAAGCCCTGAACAAGTAGAACATGTTTTTACCACTTTGAAGTCCTAAAACCGACGGGAAATAGTCGGAAAATCCTTCGATATTTCGGTCAAAATTGCAACTCAAGGAACTGACCTATCCTAATGTCCAAAACCTTCCAAAACTTCTCTATGATCTATGTGAAGTTGTTTTAAGACTCCTTGAGCCTTGAAACTCTGTGAAACGTCCACGATCACGATGAAGTAGCAGAGCACCTCGCCGGAGCTTGCGAGTTCTCGGGTTTTCAAGGTCCTTTCACAAAACTAAGGGTATGATTAGGTTCCTGACTTTGCAAGGAACTCGAAAGTGACCTCCACTAGTTCGATCTGTGCAAGATGAAGATGGGTGGGTGTGTGTGTGTACGAACTGTACGGACAAAGGAAAAATCGAGAGAAAGAGTGAGAGTATGTACGTGTGTGTAAGTGTGTGCGTGTGGCCCGGATTGGGCATAGATAAAAGGGATCTTAAGCCCTAATTGAGCTGCATGTTTAGGGCCAACAATTGACCCCAAAACAAACCTAAAATTCTAATTTGACCCAAGAAAGTAGGAGGTGTGGTGATTGGTCCATTTCCTTAGCCCAATTACACAATCGTTTATTCGTAACATTTTCGTTACGAACCCAACTCGGCCCTAAATCGCGTTAACGAAAAAAGAATAATTGAAGACTATATACATACATCCACGTCACAAGGCCCACGAGGACAAAATAGTCATTTCCATGCACTCAAGGATCAAATATATATTAATTCGAGACAGGTTGTCACAATAATGACTCGGGTAGATGAAACGCATTTTGAAGTTTGAAATTGGAGAAAACAAAAAAACCGAACTATTTGAAGTGAAAATGGGTTTAATGAAAAGGTAAAATGAGCTTTTGTTTTTTAATAAATAATGTAAGCATAAGGGACTTAGTTATAAATAGCCTTTTTATTTACAAAAACATTTCATGCAAGGGAAAAATGTTCGTACACACTTCCAGTTTAATCATGTCCATTATTTTCATTTGATTTATTCAATGCGACGACTATAAATAAAAAGAAATGTGTGAGAAGTTAAAAATAGTGTGCCACTTAGTACTATGGTCTAGTAATATTCCTCTTCACTTGAAAGTAAAAGGTTTTAGGTTCGATTCTCGCCAAAGGTGAACTTGAACCACATTAGATGCATTTTGAAGTTTGAAATTGGAGAAAACAGAAAAACCGAACTATTTGAAGTGAAAATGGGTTTAATGAAAAGGTAAAATGAGTTTTTGTTTTTTAATAAATAATGTAAGCATAAGGGACTTAGTTATAAATAGCCTTTCTATTTACAAAAACATTTCATGCAAGGGAAAAATGTTCGTACACACTTCCAGTTTAATCATGTCCATTATTTTCATTTGATTTATTCAATGCAACGATTATAAATAAAAAGAAATGTGTGAGAAGTTAAAAATAGTGTACCACTTAGTACTATGGTCTAGTAATATTTTTCTTCACTTGAAAGTAAAAAGTTTTAGGTTCGATTCTTGCCAAAGGTGAAGTTGAACCACATTAGTATGGTTTACCTAATGTGAGGTTTAGCTCACTCTCCCATCCCCTCAATATAGGTACTATCGATTGTTAAAAAAAATAAAATGGTGTGTGAAAATATTCAAATTCAGTTGACACTGTGGTCTTTAGGCTTGTAAACCACTTAAAAACCTGTAGTGGATTTTTCATGATCGGTTTCTAAAGCCATTTTTCACGGGCTATCAAGATTTAACATAAACATTTGGAAATAATAATTAGTCAGCCCAAAGACCCCAAAAGATTGAAATTTAAAAGTACTTATGGTCACAAGTTTTGTACAGGAAATATGTTTACAACAATCCGACTCCACTTGAATTGATTGACTGATATTGGGAACCATAAGAGCATTCGTCATTACACCCAAGGTTCCTTATTCGATATCCACAAGAAAGTTGCTCATGATCGTGTTTGGATTTCTCCACCGGTTAGCTTGAGGAGGCGGAATTAAATATCTTTAAATTGCGTAATCAACTTATGAGACACTAATTATCGGTACATGCTAATAGCGACTTCAGGTACAACAAAGTATGCAAAGATATTTTGGAGATGCGGTTGAGCTAAGACACACAATTGAGCATTAATAATTTGATAGTGAACTCATTCATGAGAGTCGTACCAAAGACTTTCTACTTATAAGTGCAGAAGAAGATCAGTAAATTGTAGTGCTAGTGTCCTTAAGTTTGTGTTGTTTGTGTTGTTTGTTTGTTTGTTTGTTTGCTTGTTTTTTTTTTTTTTTTTTTAATTTCCATAACATTTGAGACCCCAAAGTTTGAGAAACTCCTCCATTGCAACCCACTTCAACCTACCCATTACCTGCATGTCCTTGGCAAACGGAAAAGTTGCTCCTTGTGACCGAAAGGTCACGAGTTTGAGCCCTAGAAACAACTTATTTGCAAAGCAAGAGTAATGCTGCATACGATAGACATTTCCCTCCCCGACCCTTGCAAAGCAGATAACTTTTGTTAGCTTGAAGTTGCCCTTTTTATAGCAAGTGCAAGGTTTTATATAAAAGACATCAACGTTTTTAATAATGGAACTATTCAATATAAACAATATTCGATTCAATTAGGGTTCCAAAGTTAGACTACAGGTTGGTTTTGTCCCCCGTGGTGCCTTAGCACGCGTTGGGTGCAAGAAAACACTGTTTTTTTAACAAGGCATCATCTAATAATGAGCTACAGAAAGTTGTTATTGGTGCACTAAAAATGTCATCCCGTAGTCTTCCAATATTTTCCCTCAAGTTGTTACACAAGAGGAGTGCAAAATGGTCGTTTTAGAGACTACGCCAACTCGTTGATGTTTCAACTTAGGAATTTCTGGCTTATGAGAATGACGAAATGCATGTACCAGGTTCCACCTCTTGGCATCAAATTTTTACAAAACCATCCAACTTTGCAGACACTGTAAAAAATCCATATGGGAGGAGTCAAGTGAGTCCAGAATCAATAGTTGGATTATGGGAATCCAAATAAATTATTGGCATGTTCATTTGGTAATCAATTATTAAGAGTTGTGTGGCCTCCAGCAGAAGCACCATCATGAAAAGTGCTTTTTTCTCTCAGGTGCTTCTGCTCTTGCAAACTTCTAGATACAGTGTACAGATCTTAATGGAAATGAGTAAGAGCGACTCCAGTAGAAAGCACATTCTCCACAGAAGCTCAAAGATGAGAAGAGACAAACAAACAAAGACGCATGCACTTCTGGATTTGTAGGCATAGGCATGTGTGGTGAACATCATCATGATCACAACAAAGCCACTAAAGATACAATGAGTAGAAATATAAGTAGTAAATGTCATGCTCGTCTCGTATGATAATCATTTCGTTGTCAGTTTCTAATTTTTATTTTCCTGTTAGAAATAAATGGGAAATAAGTGGGAGAGAATTCGGATGAAGAAGCGTAGTGGAGGGAGGAAGGATGTAGAAATGAAAACTTGAAAGCGGAAACAAGTAAAAAAATTTCGACGTCCTAGTTTTCGTTTTATGTACTATTTCATGTACATTCTTTCTACGCTCCTCCTATCGCTTTTCACCTTCTCTTATTCCTCCATCTCCACCAGAAAATGAGAACTAAAATTTAAACAAACAAAATGGTTATTAAACGGACGTCTTTATTTCCAAAAGGAAATGTCAGTTGCCGACAGCATGGTTTTCAAGTAGTCATGGATGCAATCATAAGTACAAAGAAGTCAACTAACAATGAGGAGCCAGCAATCTAGATTTCTACATGATTCTGTAATGTGAAAAGAGAAATGCTACGAAGACTCTGCCACCTTACAGTTTCACGTTAATTCTCGTGCTAATATTAAAAAATATTGTGCAAAAAATATGATGCGGCAGAGAGTCCATAAAGAGTTTCACTTTTGAGAGTCTCCTTAGCATTTCTCAAATGGCATAGGATTCCCATCCAACTTTTAAACAAAACATTCCCTTAAATTTTTCAAATTAGGTTATGATTAGGGTGACGCCTGCGTGGCATATACAATCATTTCTTCCGGCTTATAAGAAGCCCTGCCAAACCAAACATCCCAAAATATTCCTATTCACTGTTAGCATGCTCAACATGAGAATACAAACTCCCATTCATCTCCTCTTGGTGTGGCTCCTGCTTGCAGCTTCTCAATACGACTACTACAATATTCATGTTCAAGCTATTGAATCAGGTAAGACACTGTGGCTACGTTTGGTGCCTAGGATTGGATTAGATTAGATAACGCAGTAAATTCAAGGTTCGTTATTACAAGATGTTATTCTACCATTAGTGGACAAAGTTTGGAAGTTGGCCTCAATTTCTTCCGACAACGTAATTTGAATTTAGTGAGTTATCTGATCTAATCCAATCCTAGGCACGAAAGGTCCCTATCTTCTTTCTTTCTAAATAATGTGAGAAAATGTAACAAACATTTGAACATGATTCATATCATTCTAAAGAAAATGCAATGCAACTGAACAGATTGTACCTTGTTTCCTTCAAGATTTAATACATATTACCTTTCTTTGTTGCTGGCCGCAGTTCAGTACAAGCTCAATACTGCACAGCCCGGCTCAGGTTCAGGGTCGGCGGGGTCAAGAACCAGAAATGTTCTGCCTAGTAAGGTGTGTATATGATACAATTGGATTTATCATTAGCATTTACTCAATTTCAAGTAACTTTACGTTGACTCCTTTGCATCTTTGTTCAACATTACAAATCAGGTCAGTGGAAGGAAAGTCCATAAAACTCCATCAAGACCGAACCCAGTTGGGAATCATCGCCCACCATCGGAGCAATGAACATTTGACGCAATTGTAGTTAACTTAGCAAGTAGAACTAATTGGATTATTGTAGTTAATGTAGGCCTAAAGGGAGATCAGTGGTTTCATTGTAGGTCAAAAAAACCTCTCCTCTGAGTATGTGCTTGTACAAAATTGGATTTAGAACATTTGAATTCGAGAAGCTTTTGTGGCATTTGTGCATGAACAAATATGTTAGTGTAGGAGTTCCATAATCTAAATCTTCGGTAGAACTGCTAACGTCAGGAATTACTAAAAGGCAAGAAAAAAGGTTCACATATATCACTTACCCGGGCAATCTTTTAATCTACAAATGACAGACATTCAAAGGATAACATGTCATCCTAATGGCTCGGGTAAGTTGCAGAAGAATGAGAAAGGAAAATATGAAAAGACCTGCTGCCGAAAGCTTCTAAATTTGGAAAAACCAGCTGCCTTGATACACAAACTTACAACTTTACTTTGTTTTCCATAAACGAAAAGTAACAAATCTGAAAAGAAAGTACATTTTAGCACCCTGTGGAATGAAGAGACTAAGTAGATGAGAACTTTTTTTGGTCAATAGGAGATGAGAACCAATTAGCATGATTTTCATTATATCTCAAAAATAATGAGCCAGCATAAAGCTGGCAATATGTTAACTACAATACACTTGGCTGAGATATGCAGGACTCACCGTGAATTACAAACTTAATCAGTATACAGTCATTTATACTGCACGCTTCCTTTTAGATCGCTTGCTTCTCCTTGGTCGAGGATCATTTGGAAGCTCTTTTCCAACACTAGACGCGTACAGCTCTTCTAGAACCTCCTCACCCTGATAGAACCTCTGAATTAGTTCCAAATGCCAAACTTAAACTAGTTTTAAATACAACTAGACATCCTAATGTTCACTAATTGGATCACATTCATGTTTGTTCCTATGTTCACTAATTGGATCGTGTTCACGTTCGGTACTTGTTCAAAGTGTATAATGTTCAATACAACAACAAAGAAACCATTCCAACAGTAGATTTAACTAACTGATAAGATTATTATTTCATTTCTTTTATACATATAACTTATTAGAGCAAGTGCCATCTGAGTTTCATGAAATACTCGTTTTAGTACGGTGACAAGATAAACAACATCCCATTTTTAGATAGTTGGGTGGGAATCAAACTCAGTGGGCTGCCTTGCATGTAGTACAGAAGAAGAAATCCTTGGCAGACATGCACATTATCATGCATGTGTGAAGAAATAAGAGACTTCTGCACTTCGTGACTATTTGATTATAACTCAATGGCTACTTTGTACAAGTTCTTGCAACAGTAAATCAATTGACACACAAGTAGTGGAACCCATAAACTATCATCAAAAAGACAAAGTAGAAGTTATGGCTTATGATCATGCTGTAAAAGTCAACTTCAAGCCTCCAATATGCTTGTTAAAAGTAATTAGTTTCATTCAAAGGAATCATGGATGATTATTAGGTACTTTAAGTGTAGCTGGGACTATTATCCAATGAAAACTTCCGCTTTGAAAAATGGATTAGCCAGGTGCCTCTATGCACGCAACTACTATCTTCTTCAATAATCATTAAAATTATATGTAAAAAAGAAAAAGTCATATTTTCATATTGTTCAGAAATAATGCTAAGGTTTCTTCTTTAGAAGACTACTTAACAAGTTAAATCTAATCATCATGCTAAATTTTGCATTTTACCTTGTCACTACTTTCTTCATCTGGACCATCTTCAGAATCAGAAGTCTGAACCTCTTCATTTGCTAATGCTGTGCTCAACTGTTTCTTTTTCTCCTCCTCTCTTAACTTCCTAAATCTGTTGATCACCAATTTTCTTTTGGTCAGAAACAAAATTTTATGAAAGATTTTATATAATTCTCCTAAGTATAACACCAACCTACTGCCAGCTTCTACTGGCTGAGAATCTGATCGCTTTGCACGTCCTGCTGTAATGATCCCACTTGCATTCTCATTCACAACAGGCTTTGCACCTCCTAATCTGCGTAGCCATACTTGTTGTGCTGTGCTGAGGACATTGTTTGTGAACCTGGAAACCACATAGTACAACTGATAAAGAATGAGCGTAAATGAGGTCAATTTGAATCATTTTTCAGAACTACACCAGATAAGCTTGCAAGGGAAAGTAAACATACTTTTTTTTATTCCTAACGCTAGATAGATTGTATTTTTGAGGAAAGTAATATCCTAGTGGATAGGGTGTGGGGTTTCTACCCATGCCTCCCTGGTTCGAAACTTCCCCATCCCCTGAACTAATGTAATAGTTTCGAACTCTCCCCCTTCCCCTTAATAATAGTATTTTGTTTTTTTAATAAAGGAAAGCAATATAATATTCATTAACATGACAGTGGTGGCAACCAGAGAGAGAATAATAATTACAAATTAAAAATGAAAATGAAGTGGATGGATAAGTTTTTACAGTATGATATAGATGCGCTACTGATTGTATCAACAAAATTTGACAGTGTAACTGTAGAAACTCATTAATAGTAAGCTGTCCCTTTTAACCAAAAAATGCAAAAACCATGGACCTTATATAAAATAAAATAAAGAAATAGCTTAAGACATCCAAGGCCAAATCAACAAAATGTTAAAGCCCTTGTCAGAAGGAATAAGAGCTCTAAGACATTACAAGGAAGGAGTGTGTTCATGTTCCTTAACAGGTGCCTTTAGGGAAGTCCCATGCAAAATTCAGGCAGTAATTTGTGTATTAGCATACAACATACATGAAAGAGGATATGCAGAGTAAATTTGTTAATGAAAAACTAACCAGTAAATTGACAATCCTGAAGGAACGGACAAGGAGAAGTAACCAATCATGAGGGGAAGAAACTTGAATACAAGAAGAGTGTTCTTTTGAGCTGGATCATCAGTCTGCCAAAGAAAGAGTTAAGGTTACAAACAGGAAAATAAAAATCTGTTAGTCTAGATAACCGCACACCTGAATGGCCCATAATTTAATCCCGCAACCATACAAATTGTTTCGTAGCAAAAGGAAACAGGAATCAAAATGAATAGAGAAACCAATGTAAATGCAGACACACAAATCTATACCTGTGGAGGCTTCATGATCTCCATTGAAACATATTGAGAAGCAACAAGGAGGACAGGCAAAACAAGGTATGCTGCAGTGTCAGACCAGCCCAACGGTGGATGTCCATCCTGTGTCATAAATTATATTTTGTAATAACCAGTTGAATTCACATGAAAGGAACTTGGACTCAGTAATAATATGATACAACTATTCGATCTGTACAATTCAAACTTTTAACACATTTACCGTATACTTTACCAATTGTTAGACACTGCTAAGATAACAATTGGTTTACTGCTTCCACAAGTAAGGTGGACTAAGCTTAGCAGTGTACCAATTGCTAGCTTCATAATGCATGAAATCACAAAATATCCTACCACAAAGGGAAACAGCCACGAAATGCCAGAACCACTTTGTCGAGCAGCAATTGTTGTTGGGCCACCCAAAGAGGGGATCCAAAAGAAACCTTCTGTCAACAATCCCTTTGAATGAACAAAAAATTGCAAATATCAGCACTATTGTTTTTTATTTTTTAATGATAATGGTTATCTCACCACTGAAAATTTAGTGGCAACCAACTAATTACCTCATTTGCCACATTTGAAAGAGCTTGATATAGACCTATCCAAACCGGTATTGTGGCCAAAGTTGGTAAACACCCTACATTCAAAATTTGAATTAGAGCCTCATAATTTGGCTCAAGGTGACACCAGAATACGATCAAGACATGAAATTAAATTCAACACAACAGCTCAACGTGATATCGCAAAACATGGAAATTTTTAAAATTTAAAAGTTGGACAGAAACAGAAATTGGTTCCATTAGTAAACTTAGATATCTCAAGATGAACCAACACGGCAAAAAGTCGTGTTTCATTTCTCATTACTGAACCTAACAGCTCATCAATTTCATGAAAGAATGTGCAAATTAAGTCAGATTACAACTCATATTGAAGGTGTTTCACATTCAAATAAAGCAGTAATTGATCAATCCAGCACGCATGCAGGCATACGTAAGTGAACTTTATAGTGATAAATTAAACTGGTTACCGGCCAATGGATTAACCCCTGCCTGCCGATACAGCCGTGATGTCTCAAGTTGTATTCTTTCCTACATAGCGAAAAACCATAGCTACAAATTAGTTACCACTGCAAAAAGAGGCAGGCAAACATTTAACCGAACCCATTTCGGCAATTACTCCGACTCAACAGTTAAAGAAAACCCATGTCAGCAAAAGCAAAGCCTCACCGTATTGCCCTCGTATCTCTTTTGTATGGCTTTAAGTTTTGGTTGAAGGTTTTGCATCGCTAACGTGGATTCCACCTGCATATTACAAATATTAAACCAAAAAATTCAAAAATTTTGAAATTTTTTTTTTAAAAGAATTAAACAAATTATCAATAAACAAACACCGAACCTGTTGTTTTGTGAGCGGCAATGTGGCAAGTTTAACGATAATTGTAAGCAGTATAATGGCAAAGCCGTATGCATACGGCACGTGCACGGTCTCAAGTCCGCCTTTCAGAATCTATCAAAATTCAGCAAATAATCTCCGAAATTTCATTCATTTTCGCAGAAATTTACAAAATTTATGAAATCGAAACTACCTTAAGCACGAACTCCATGGCGTCGGAGATGAAGCCGAACCACCCGCCGTTCTTCTGAGCGGCGGCGTCGGTGGAGCTCGGGTCGACGGCGACGGCGGCGTCTGCAATCGTGTAAAGAAGTCCCTCGGCGCGGCTCAAAAGCGAGGCGACGTCGACGGGCGAGTGGTCGAAAGGGTTTATCGGAGGAACGGAGTCGTGGAGGCTGAGCCTGATTCTGGTGGTGGCGAGTCCACTGCTGCGGTAGGGGAGGGCGTAGGACCCACGGCGGGAGACGGACGGCAGAGATGCGCCGACGAAGGGCGTGGATGAGATGAGAGTCTTTGCCATGAGAGGAGTTTGAGAGTGGGTCCCAGACTCTCTCAGTGGTTCACGTGAGAGTACAGCAACTGGAAGGGAAGATGATGAGGAGATATTGTTTTTCCGGATTATACGTACTTTTTTTTTTTCTTTTGACAAGAGTCGTTAATTTTGGCGCGGGGAATTATGAGAGGTTGTCACGGGAGCCAATGGGAAGCGAGCACGTGGTGTGAGGAGGGGTTGTTTCGTCAATTTGGCATATTGAATTGCGTGGTTAATCACCCCTCGTGTGTTTTTAAAGCACTCTTTCTCCGCTCGACGTTGTTACACGTGACTTTAATAACTTTCAAAGAAGCTTTCAACACAAATGAAGTTATTTTCCATCATTTACTTTGGGGAAGAGGATTTCTTCCGCAAAAGCTATTAAATTAAGTGATTTGAACTCTTGAAATTTGATTTAACGGTTAAAAACATGAACTTCCTTTAAAAGTTATAATAAGTTTACTGTTTGATCAAATTTAAAAGGTATACATATCACTTGATTTGGTGGAAGAGATCAGGAGAGGATCTCTTTCCATACTTGCATCAATGGAAGTGCACCAACTACTTCGCTTGCTACTATTGACTATTTTTATTAGGGTAATGTTACGAAGATCAAATTTCTAAACATAAATAAAATGATATGGACGTTAATGATATGATTATTACTTAAGTGTTAATTAATGTAGTTATTTGCTATTGATGACATGTCATTTGATTTTCAAATTTGGTTTTAAAATATGCATCCCTAGCATTATCCTTTTCATTGTACAAAAATTTACAACTTTAACGGTTTTATGTAGTTAGGAGTAAGGCTATAAAAGTAGTTCAGTGATCAAACTTTAGTTATAGTTTATTGGCCTAATTATTTTGTTAGATAATGCTAGTTACCTTCCCCATTTACCTTTTCTTATCTATCTTTCTCATTTCTCACTTGACACATAAATTCCACTAACGCATTCAACTACATAGGTAATGCTTTAAAATCATAAGTTGTGAATTTGCACCTTTATCCTTACACCAACTCCAAGGGCAAGGCACACCCAGATATTTGGGTTTATACCCAGAAAATGCAATCTAATGAAGAGACATAAACCCAAAAAGTTTGGCTTTGGACGCAAACTAAACCCAAAGTTGAGTTTCTATGTGGCTGACCCAAATTTTTTGGGGCCCACCTGTTTTTAAAGTGCAACGCCGATGATGTTTAACGTGGCCGACAGCTGGGCACCAACGGGTAGGGGTATCCAGCAGCAAGACGTTAACATTTTAGGGGCCTAAATGACCATTAGTTCATGTTTTTTTATTTTTTTTCAAATCCAACATAGTAAAAATATTAACATGCATTTTTTAAAAACATATCCAATAAATTAGTTGAGTAGTTGGTTGATGTTATTTGTTTAGTTTTGAAACTTTCCCTCATCATACATTAGGAATTTATCGACACCTCCGACGCCGATTCTAAGAAAAACCACCACCATCACTTTGACTAAGAACAAACGGAAAAATACGAAGAAGCAAATCGGTTCGATAGGCTTATCATTGGGCCCGCTGGCTCCGTGCAGAAAGATCCGGAGGGGATTTGGACCCAAGCCACAACTATAAAATTTGAACAAAATCTCCAAAACTCAATTAAAATAAATTAAAACTCGGAATTGCATTAGATTTGAGTTAAGTTTATTTAATTAATATTTTAACGTCAAGAAAGTTGAGAAAAGGTACAAAAACCCTAGACGATCCATGAGTTAACACTAAAAAAACCCAACAATTACATCCCAATAACAAAACCTTAATTAACTCACTTAAAATTCCCAATCACAACAGGCTTGCCCTATCCAGAGAAAAAATCATAGAAAGGCTGCTGGTCACCAACAATCTGATCAGCACTAGAGCCAATTAGAGCAGCAGAGGAACAGTCAGCATCGTTAACAGTAGAAGGGTAGTTTTGATCTTCTCTTCCTTGCTGCAAAATGCCAGTGGGTTGCAAGGGAAAAAGCGGCAGTGTTTGTTGGTCGCATTTGCTGATAAGTTTGCTCGTGGCATCGTTGACCATATCGCTGCCTCCGCTAGTATTATATCCATTGTGTGGATGCATGGGTTCATAACCAGCGCCACCAGTAGTGCAGGTGGTTCTTCGCTTTTCCAATTTCTCGGCCCTTGGTCTCCTCTTGACTACATTAGGAACACCGGGGAGAGGCACCTTATTGGGATATGGAGACTGCGGATAGAACCCTAGCTCACTATGAACTGGTACGTAGTATGGGCTGCACATTACTGAAATGAAAACACCAAGTTATTAATTTGGTCAAATAATCAAACTATTGCATACAAAATGAGAAACCAAAGATTGAAACTTTAAGAGCTATGATGGGAATCAACAACTTAAAGTGGATTAACCCAAAAGGTTATTCTATCATAAAATAGTAATTCTAGGGAGACAAACTATTTAGATTGAATTTTGTAAATTATATAACGTGGTTGTTGATAATTGGATTATTACTTAAATGTTGATTAACTTGCTTATTTGTTTATGATGACGCATCATATAGTTTGCAAATTTGGTCAAAAAATGGGTCTTTCTAGCATTGCTCATCAGAAAAAGTAACAGTTTGTACAAAATGTCATATATTATTCGTGATGACTATATAAAGCAAGCAAAAGTTAAAAACACCAACTGTGATCAGCATAAGGAGAAAATAAAACACAGCTTAAATAACTAAATTTGGAAAGAAAAATAAAAAGAAATTTGGAAACAGCCATATATAGCACTACAACCACTGCGATAGAGTTTAAGAACATTTAACCAAACACCCAGGTCGCGTGCATAAAGAAAATGTATACTCTCTCACATTCAATACTCACATGTCAGTCATGTTCGATCTCCCTAAACTATAAGATGAAATATATATTCAACACTTTCATATTCATTCTCTCACGTGGTATTCACGTGACAAATTTTGAAGTATGAGGTCATGTGAAACCAGATCAATACGTTCATAGTATTTAATGTGTTTATATATTTTGTATAGGGAATTGTTATTGGCACTTTAAAAATCTCATTTTCACTTATAAGGAGTGTAAAATGAGATTTGTAGAGTACTAATAACATTTCCTTTTGTATAAGCTATATATAATGAACCCATTGTGTGTAAGAGTTTCATCTAAAAAATTCAGAACAATATGCTCATAACAGTCCATCTAAAAATTCCAGAACAATATATTCATAAATCTAATGAATCTTGAAATATAAAATATAAAATAAAATTACCATTTGGGCAAGGAGGAAGAAAAATTGGCTGAGTTGTCCTTCTATGTAACAAGCGATTATAAGCTATGCTCTCTTGCTTCTGCTTCTGCCTTTGCCTTGCCTTGTGATTCTGAAACCAGTAAAAAACATTCTTCCCCTCGATGTGACCAAAAGCCTTCAGCCTACTCGTTATCTGCTGTATTTGCTCAGCACTTGGCGTCCTCACTCCTTGCTTGTAAAAATTCTCAAGCATATCAATCTGCTCCTTTGTTGGGTTCCATCGGGATGTACTCCCGCTGTCCCCGGCACGCCCAGAACCTGCCTGCACATGCCGCTGGTCCAGTAGGACTGCACTGTGATGGTGATCACCCTCCATTTTTTTGTCTTTGTTTTTCCAGGGTTTAGGGGTTTATGAAGAGAGAGAGAGAGAGAGAGAGAGAGAGAGAGAGAGAAAGAAGAGATGGAGTTGGAGAGACGACAATAGGGTTATTACCTTTTGCATGGGATTGTTTTTTATAGAGGGACTCAGATAGTCAAACATAAACGACAAAGGGGGAGAGAGAGAGAGAGAGAGAGATTGACATGCGTATTGTTTTTGGTGCTGAATATCTCTGAAAACATAGCGGGTAGCGGCTGATTTGAGAGAGTAATTAAGTAAATGAGGGGATTGGCGTTTTCCTTTGTGTTTGCTCGAAAACACAGTGGGAGTGGCGAAATGACAATTTGGCCCGTGCACTCTTTTTTGCTAGGTTCTAGGAAATTAGTTGGCATTTTGTTGTTCCTTAATGCTGCTATCTCGGGAATGAAAGGAGGACAACTAGGGTAGGAAAACGAAGGGAAGGATGGGTATAAATGTCATTGGGTTAGAAAAAAGACAGCCGGTTGGGCTGTAAGGTGTAGGTAAGGGCTAGGCTTTGGGAATTGAAGTGGGAACAGATAGGTGCAGAGAGAGAGAGATGAAGTTGAATCGTTTAGGGTTTTGGGGTTGAGGGCAGTGGTGACTGTGTATTTTGGTGTGTGGTGGGAGTTGGGAGTGGTGTTTTATGATTCAGGTTTGGTGTGGTTTCGTAGTGCCCAATAGACCATTTCCACTGGTTAATCAGGTTTACTGATTTGCATGAATGACTATATTTTGCCGAAAACCCGTTTTGGTTTCAGTATTACTACTCTGTAAGAGAATATGTGGTAAGTACCAATAATTAACATATCAATTTATGAAAAGTTATGCATCCCTATAAGTATCTTGTTATTTTTCAATATGTATGAAAGAAAATTTTGGAAAGCAAGGCAGTAATGTGGTGGTCAGTTACAATCGAGTAAATTGAATTTTACATTAGTTAGTAATTGATTACGAATTATTTCAAATTTTAATTATTAGAAATTGCTCACCTGAGGACTAATGGTCATAATCAATTAACTTTTCAGTATAATTTCTTAAAAGTTACTGGTCTTCAGGTGAGCAATTACTAATACAAATATTCCCACAACATAGTCACTCACCATCTTGATTTAATTTTGCGATGAGACTCATGTTGTGAATCACTCATGTATATGTAGATAGACAACTAAATCATGATCATAATTAGTATAATATTAGCCCACATTTTAATCAATTACACATTTTAATCAATTAATTTCGTTCAGTATTAACTGATTTTAATAGTTTAATTGTTGGATGAGGCCGGCAAGCTTTCACTATCATGTTTTTTTATCAAATGCTACATTATTATGATCGCACTAAAAACTGAAAAGTTTCAAAGACGGCTTTTTTTCTCTTCCAATCGGCTTTTTCAAGATGATTTTCTAACCCTTCATGACTCATAATCATTACTATTATATTTATTTAAGAATGTACGCTAGTCAATGTGAATACTCTCTTTAATCTTTGTACCAAACCCACTAACCTTCTCTTAATGACATAATCTTTTTTTCTTGGCAATAAGCACTATCTGTTAATCACTACTAAACAAATTATGAGAGAAACACCATGTTCATGCGCCATAAATCCATGCAAATTGTAGGCGCACAAACAAAGTCAGAGACTCACAAACATAATACCAATTAACAAAAGGCCAATCGATGGGAAGGAAGAGGGGCGATCGAGGATAATATAGGTAGGTGTGGTGCATGCTAACCCTAGATAATGCATGCGTGATAAAAGGGTTTTGTGCTGACTATCATGCAATACATTTCAGACAATTTATTGTTTTAAATTAATTAATAATTTGTATTAGTTATTTGTAAACGTTAAACGTTGCGTGTAATATACATCACCTTCCACAGTCCAACCTATCCAGCATTCTGCATATTGCTTCGTATATTTGCACCAGCATCGAATACGATGCAGCTCTTTCTAGCAGACTTGAGAGATTTTTTAGTGTACGAAAACAGTGTTTTTTTAAGTGTAATAATAAAAGTGATTGAGTACTTGAAAAAACATTTTCACCATATATAGGATGATATTTGGTGCATTGGGTCGTGTTCCCAGTAAACTAAAAAATTTTTGCACGGACTCTTTTGTTATCTTTCTTCTCTAGGGTTTAGGTTTAGCTTTAGGCCAGGATACTTTCCCATTACATCTCTCAGTCTGCATGCGACAATGGTCCCTTTAACCTTGTCTATTTGGCCTGGTTTCTTTTAGCAAATTTTGGCGTAACATTCAACAAATTTTGATCCGATTCTCCTGCACTGAATGGGTCTAATCTCGAGAAGATAATGGGAAGAAATAGGTAAATGATAGTGAAAACTTAAGGGCCCGTTCGTTTGGCATCCCCTTTAAAAATTGCACTTCAAAACTTAACTCTTCTTGAAAACAAGGAGTTTTGAATTACAATTATATATAACATCCAAAAACTTATTTGGCATAAAGAATTTAAAAACTTTTTTCCACCTATTTTTTAGGGAAATTATATTCACACACCCCAAATTATTTCTTCCACATCCTTTTAAATTTTTAATATTTTTCTATCAAGTGTTAGTGGTGTGTAGAAAATATTAAAAAAATTAAAAAGGTGTGGGAGAAGTAATTTAGGATGTGTGAATATAATCTCTCATTTTTTTATCTTAGAAAATTCACTAAAGAGACTGAAAATATGTTACGATTGAGGACCCTAAAGGGTAAGCCTATCAACGACCAGGACGACGACAACAACATGAACCCGGTTAAGCTCCAAATCCGACCCAACACCCGATCCCCTCCAAGCATAACACCATATCGAGTCTCTCACCGCATCAATACCAGATTTTCGTTTCTAGTTCGATCACACCTTCTTTGACAGTGCAAAGTTTGAATCGGCGACGGCGACAACGAGGTTATCTCAGCATATGCGGCGGAACTGGAATAAGAAACCAATTGTTTGGAACTAATGGTCAAGTGCGTACATATTTACATGAGAAACCAATTGCTTCGAACTAATGATCATCACATTTAACCATAATAAAAACTTACATAGAACAGTTTTGTGGATACTTTATGTCTAGCTCTCATCATGTATGTGACTAAGAAACAGATGTATACCGTTCCTTAACAGTTTTTGTTCTAACAGGTTTAGCCACATTTTTCAAGCAAACGTTTTATACCTTATCAAATGGATGGCAATTAACATTAAATCTTCATTTAAGCGACTCAAGTGATGGCAGAAACATTTGATGACATTCCTTTGCCAGGTCCGTCATATGTTGAGCCTTGACGTTGAGGGAACAGTCCACGTCGTATAGGTATAGGTCTACATATTAATCCCACTCAACTCTATTAATTTCGATTTGCAAAATGGATAGGGATCCCAGTTTGTTGTCTGACATCTTCTACTACGTTCAAACCTAAAATTTTATGAAAATGGTCTTGTTCACACTCTTCACTTAGATTTTGCCCTATGTCGGCAAAGTGTAAATAACGTTCGCCACAATAAGCAATATTATTAATTTGTACGCATTCAACTGCCGATCAAGTGCAAAATGTTTTTAGGATAAGAGAGGTTTATCTTTAGAACACAGGACAGTACGTCATATGTTATTATATAAGTGGAGCGAAGTTTCTTTTTTTCCAAGTATCTCTCTACTTGATAGCGACATATGGCATATGTACCCGTGTTCCATACACACTAAAAAATCTCTCCTAAAATAATGCTTGTTTCTCTCACTTTGAAAATACGAAGCAACAAGCTTGCTTCCGAGTCCTTGTAACTTGTTAGTCTTGTAGCAAAATTACCAAATAGACATTGGGCAATTGTTGGATCCATGTATCTGTGAGTAAGACCGCATTATATTTTGTTAGATACAATCGCGTTATTCACGTACGTCCCAAAAAAATGTTACTTCTTGCCAAATACAACTTCATATTAGAATTTGTATATTCCTATTTAAGAACATACATTGAGGGGCCCTATAGAATATCTCTATTTTTAAGCAATTTGTTCACTTTTTGAAATTTGATATTCTAAGAACCCTTACCTGTTGAGGTATTGTATGTTCCAAATTTTGTAACTTGGCCATGTATTACTAATGAGTTTGATTGCTTTGTATGTTAAAAAATCGGCTTTTTAGTCACAATGGTCTCTGAGATTTGTATAACTTTTCACTTTAGTTCCTGAGATTTGAAATTTATAGAAGTGGTCCACGAGTTTGTCTACCATCAATCATTTTGGTCTTTTCGTGAAAATTTCGGTTAAATAAGGACCAAAACGATTGTTGGTAGACAAACTTATGGATCACTTCTATCAATTTCAAATCTTAAGAATCAAAACGAGGAGTTATGTTAATCATATATATCATTTTAACTAAAAAAACCTAAAAACCATATAATGAAATCTTCGATAGTTAAAAAACACTCTAACAATCAATCATACGAAATTTGAACATAGACCTCTTACTTAAATAAAAATAATATCTACTAGTGTATGTAAAATTCATCCGTATTATCAATAAACACGTCCAAATATCGTTGTCGGCAAAAATTGTCTAGGTGGCCAACGTGGATCATTCAGAATTGGATCGGATGTAGGCAACTTGATTTGATGATGGGGCAAATCACAAAGGGTTTCGATTTGACCTCTCATTAATTAATCATCAATGACCCAAATAAATGGGCCCGCGTAGGTCCATTTTAATTTGATTACTAAAGGGTATCCGCCAGCCCAAGCTTTGCTTGACCTGCCATGCAGTTGTTTTGAACCTCTCCACGTAAATTAGAGGAGTTTATGTCATGCCAATACAAATATACAAAAACCTACACCCTGCCTTCGTTATTTATTTCAAAAAATTTGCATGATAACTATTTTAACGTGTTAGTAATTCCGTAGAGAAAAATATAATCACATACTTTTAATCGAATCCATGACAGAGAAGAGACGAAGATTTATAAATACTTTGACACAGTTTGACATTCTTTTATTAGAATGTTGATCTAAAATGGTTTAAGATTCATAAGTGTTTTGTTGAAAGTGTTTTACTATGTAAAAGTGGCCACTTGAAAAGTATTTATAATTAACACTATTGAAGAAAGTGGTGGATGACCCTAATAATTTATGGTATTCCCCCTCAATCTACTGCGCATCGGGTTTAAACTTTTCCCCTGTCTTTAGTGTAACTTGGTGTAGAATATCGATTTTCTTAAATAAAAAGCAATGCCTATTATTCAAACGAAAATCCCCATTTGATGTCAAATTGTTGAACAAGAAAACGAATTTTCATGGTTTTCTTTAACTTGTATAAGAACCAAAAAAGAAACAACAAAAAGAAGAAAGCAACCCTTTTGCTTTCTCCTTTTTTTTTTTTTTTCTGGTCTGCAGAAAGTAAGCATATTACATCTGTTGCCCTAAGAAAGCTCTGCAGAAGGTTGAATTTCACCGGGAAAGACCAGATAGATGGTCATAGGTGACCAGCGTGTTGTTTGGTACTGTTCCTCTAATCACGCTATGTTACGTGGAGGGCGGCTTCGTTGATGCACTCCCACTAGTCATTATTTAATCTGATTTTTTTTTTTAAGATTAAAGAATAACAAAATATACGCAGGTAATTTCCATTTTATTATCCTTAAATTTTGTCCTAAACCTTTGTTATGATTTTTTTAAAGATTTTTCGAAGCTAATTGAATCAATTTTGAGAAGTTAGGTTTGGATTTTGAGGATGAATTTAAATATTAAAGTGAGATAACACACAAATAAATGTAATAAAATTTTGTAAAAACTTAAACATAGTAAAGTGAAATTATTCATAAATATAATACAACGTATATCTAATCACATAGACTGAATAAAATTTGGGGAACTTTAATGAAAAGCTTTCGGTATTGTTCACTTTAACGAAAAACCACATTTTTACACTAAAAAGTTAATTCCGATACTATTTATTTTACCCTTTATTTTATCCTTATCGTTAAAATTCAAAGTTTTCAAGTTTTTTTTTATTAGTTTTCCTTAAAATTTGGAGTGAGACTACATGAGGCTGGTGGGTGTATTAATTTCCACACTGCATGAAATATGGAACAATGACTAGAAAATAATATGTTTTGTTTAGAAGAATGAATAAATATTGAATAATAAAAAATGTTATTCTTATTATCGATTTGTATCATCTTTCTAATAGAGATGATATCCACATGTGTTGGTGGGTCATACTTTTATTAGAGAGATGATTTAAATAATGGTATAAATAGATAATAAGTGTAACACTACTCTTAAATAATATGTCAGGCGCAGTCCACACATGATTTTTTTTTCTTCATCACTTCAATAATAACTACATAGTGTACGAGATCTATGGAACAAGAGAAGTTATTTGTTTCAACAAAAATATTTGAGCGGATTTTTAAAACAATACAAAGAAATTCAAACAATACCAAAAAAATGTACTTGAACCGGTACTGTTTATTAAAGTCGCAATTGACTTGGCTCAATAGCGTAATTGCTTGGGCAATTGACTTAGAGTGGATTTGCTCCAAATTCTAAACCCTAATATTTCCTTTCCATTTTACTTCCTTTTTTAAATGATTAAACTGGCACACACGCTTTTGCAAACCCATGTGGGTTGCTTTCCAGCCATTGCCATTCCACACACGCGCATCCTCCATTTGTCAAGTTAATATAATCTCCTCCTCGCCTCCTCGCCTCCTTTCCAAAACCAAAAAACCTTAACTCACCGAATGCTTGACAAACTATAAAATTTTAATTTGACTATCTGCTGGAAACAAGAATTATTTAATTTTATCAAAGCTTTACGCTTTACTCTCCATTGGTTCTTTTACTTCTCGACAAGTTGCGGTGGTGGCTGTGACCTTTCTGGATGGTTGAAATCTTGGCCTTTAAAGGTAAGTGCTGTTAATTTTATGGAGAATTTGTACTTGTTCGGTGGTTTAAATTTGTGGGTTCTTATTTTTTTGTTGTGGGTTTTGTTTATAGTGGAGAAAACTGAGAGATTTTGAGGGCTACGAGGCTATGAAATTCCAGAGGAAAAGATGACTTCTTTCAGTGGATTGGGAATTGGGTTGGGCATAGTTTTTGGGTGCCTGCTGTTGGCACTTGTTGCAGAGCTTTACTACCTGCTATGGGGGAAGAAGAGAATCACCAACAGAGAGATTGAGGAGGAAGAAGATGATGGTTACATCACCAGCCATGCAAAGGAAATCTTCCAATTTAATTGCTTCAAAAAACCCAATTCTTTTCACACCAGCAGCGATGGAAATTCAAATTCCCATGAGAATTTGAGAGAGCCAGATGTGAATGTCAATGGAAGTAGCGAGCCAGATTTGGAACTGGGTTCTAGCACGGATTTGCTGTTGAAGCTCAATGGGGAAGAAAATGTGGAAATCTCAGAGCTGATGAGGCTGCACAATCTTGCTGGCCCACCAAGGTTTTTGTTCACAATCAAGGAGGAAGAAAAGGAGGATTTGGAATCAGAAGATGGGAAGTCTAGAAGCAGCAGAAAAAGGTCAAGGACTAGAAGTTTGAGTGATCTGATTTTGGCAGTGGACACACCTTTTCTTTCCCCTATGCCTTCCCCATCAGTAAAGTCTTCACCTTTGAGCAATTTGGAGGCCTACAAACACCATGGATTCAACCCCCTCTTTGAATCCTCCACAGAAGCTGATATGAACAGGCTGAGATCTTCACCCCCTCCAAAGTTCAAGTTCTTGAGAGATGCAGAGGAGAAGCTGCTGAGGAGATTGATGGAGGAAGCTGAGAAAAGAGCAGCTAAAAATGGTGGGTCTGCAGCTTCTGCAGCTCAAGATTGTGGGGTGAAAGCTTCAACAAATTCAACAATGGCTGCAGAAGAGAGAGATGGGTCTTTTATAAGACTCATTGCTGGCAAGAACAAGGAGAATCATCAGAATCCTCCAAGCTCTTCCAAGGTACTTCCACTGGCTTCTTCTCCTACAATGTCCAAACCAACTTGACAGGATTGGGCAACTAAATATCTGTCAATTACCAAGAGATCTCTGTTAATTAGTTTTGAAAGAGGATTACTTCTGTATTAATCTTAGAGGTTGAAGGTTTTTATCTTCTTCATTTTATTGCCATTGTTTTTATTTTTTAGCTTGCGGGGCTTGTTTAGAGGTGAATGCGTTACTAGTTTGAGATACCCGTTTTCACGAGTTAGGTAGGGTAAAAAGACATGGATGGTCTGAGCTCTCATGGAGGATTCCCAGACAAAACTGACAAATTGTGCGGAGTTATTAAGGTGCTGGTTAATTCAAGTGGGGAACTTGTGGGGTAATCATTTTTGTCCAGTCTTCAAATGTCCTCAGGTTTCTCTTTGACCAATAATCATTCATTATCTTGTGGTTTGGTTAAACATATTCTTTCTTTTAAAATTGTTTTTCTTCACTTTTTCATTCTACAATTGGAAGTAATGAAGTATAAATACAGATATATTTAAGGCATGTTTTCCGGAAAAGGGTTTATAATCTTGTCTGAAGACTCTGTTACAAAAGAACTATATCGGAATGCTTTTGTAAGTATGTAACGATATTCTTATCCAATTATAAACTATAACGTGACAGTACGTGATGGTGTGAAATCCCGCCATAATGACATTCTGATGTTAGTAAGTGTCTCTATGTTCTTAGGTGGCTTCGACATAGTGCAGTCGTATTCATTTAAGCTATGTTGGGCAGAAGTGGGTATTGCATCTGTTGAAATTTGTTCAACTAATGCAATTAGCCAAAAATGATCCACAGGCAATCAACTTTGTGGGGCACTTATTTAATTGTTTTTTGAATAAAGTGTTCTGTGGTTTGAATTGGTCTTGAAGGAAACAATTGGACAATGGAGTACCCACTAGTTCAGTTGCTGCCCTCCTTTCCATTAAAAGAATGCAGAATATTCACACCAGAATCCAGATTTTACCCATCTTAGATGCTTAAGAGTGACTCAACTTAACAAGAAATAGGATCGTAGTAGTAGTAGTACTAGGTCCCCACCCCTCATTGGCCTTTTTTTGGGGACTTATTGGAGGTGATCTAGTTCTTACCTATCTTAATCTTAACTCATTACTATCTCTCGCTGCTTGAGCTAACTTTAGGAACTTATCGTGTGTGATGAGTGTTGTAAACACAAAGGGGTATATTCTCAGTAACATGGCATATTTTCTTGAGCTAACTATAGGGGCGCAAGCCGCCCCTCCTCTCGCCAGAGTTCGTAGCTAAAGCCTAGGTTTTCGCCCCTCTGCTTTCGTGGTGTAGTTAGTGCTGCGTTGGGTTTTCTGCAATGACATTGTTTCGTTTTATTTATTTATTTATTTTTAAAACAATGCCGTTTTGAACCCGGTGAAAAAATTTAAATAATTTCCCAAATGACGGTTTTGTTTTAAAGAAGACAAAATCCTAATATCAAATCAGTACGCTTCCCCCAACCTTTTGCTACCAAAATGCAGTCGTTTAGTATGATGTGTATGCCACAAAAGCAATGGCTAGAGTAATACCAATCGCTTACCACATGATTATGTCCACTAAAGTGCAAGTATATCCGCATTATCGAATCTTAATATGAAGACTAACTAAATCTTAGTCTCGTGAGTCATGACTGTCAAAAGAGATTTTAAGTTTGTACTGAAAAACTTTTAACAATTTAAGGCTTAAAAGGGCAGGTGTCATGATTGTTTGCCCTTTAGAGGAAGACTTGGTACTCCAACAAAAAATGTTAAAAAGGTTGAAAACGAGTGCATGAGAGGGTTAGGTTTTTTACCTAAACAACAAGTAATGTCGTTGTTATCACGCGACATGGCAAAAAGTTGCCCATTCAAAATTTGAATTCTTAAAGACAAAGAACTACTTGGAAACTTGGACAAAGATTACATCCTTCCATATGAAGTTTTGAAATTTTTTTTTTTATTATTTATTTTTGGAATAAACGATATTATTTACACTATTAAGAGGGAAGAGATGGGCTTAGCCTCATAATGAGCTAATAATAATATGGCTTAAATTCGTCTTCTGCAAGAATCGAACCTAAAACCTTTCACTTACATATGAAGAGAAATACTACTAGACCGTAGTACTAAATGACTCATATAAAGTTTTGAATTAAGAAAGCATTCTTGTGTGTTCGGCTAAGTATTAGAGCTGGGAAACAAACATAGCTAGTTCCATTCCATTTGGGTTGTGGTCCAAAACCCCCAAAGCCGCTGTCAATTTTATGGGTCCATCCCATTTAAACCCTGGGTTGGTGGGCCCACTTAATTTATCATTTTCTCAATTTGTTTCCAAACCAATCATGTGGCGAACATGTGGCGAACGTGAATTAGATTAATCAGTTAGGATAATGTGCTGGCTCATTTGTGCTCAGTTTGTATGTGAGGTCGAATTCTCTTCTTTGTAAAATTAAATTCAAGCTCTTTATTGTGTTTTTAGTGCATTTGCAGGGTTTTAGTAATAGGTTTTATAGTTCTTGAGGAGTTAATTGGTACTTTGGAAGTCCCTTGTTCATTGTCTTTGTAGTGGGTTTTAACAATTGAGTCAAAAGCTTATTGACGTTTTGAAAGCTCATCATCCAAACATATAATTAGTAGGTATTTTGTATTTTGACATAAGTTGATAGACATTTTATTTTCTAACATTGATCAACAGAAACAATTTTGCTTCAACTAAAGTCAACCAAAATAATTTTCTTCCCCAACCAAGATCAATATCAATTAATGGAATTTCTCTTCATTGACCTTTCCTTAAAAGCGCAAAATGTTGATTGATCCAATAATTTTAACGCAAATATTTTGTGACCTAACTCAAGTAACCTCCCCCTTAGGTTAATGAAAAAAAGTTACAAAGCGAGCCCCTACTACTAAAGATGAATGAAACATGCTTGCATTAATACATATCTCAAAAGTTAGTTTCTACATTTGTAATGAGAGTCTTGAATTCGACTTATACAAATTACGAGTTCGATATTAAATCGTAACAATCATCACATTGTGTAGTTTAACTCAAATCAGTCACCTTTCAATGCAAATATATTGTAGCATCAACAAAAAATGATTTCTTCAACGTTACTCTTGAAATGTATTATATTATATTATGTTTCTTCAACATTAGTCTTGAAAATAAGGTGGGGCCGAGCTCCGTTTTGAACTAGGCCAGATTTCTAGGCCTATCCTGGATATATAAAGAGACAAACAAAAGCAGATCGAGTTGTTCCTTGATGGAAACTTTGTAGTTTTGCTCTGGACATGACACATCAGCCATGACAATCAAACATATGAAGATCAAGCCGCGAATTTGCATTTGTCGTTGTCAATTTTCTTTTTCACTCACACATGCATGCAATAATGTCTGAAGCCATACTTGTTTGGTATAAGACTACGAATATTGGAGTTACTTGGCTTGAAGAAAAGCACGTTTGAGGATGAGATTTGTGTCATATTTTACAGACGATAAAACAGAAAAATTTATACATAACGAGGGTATGCACTAATCCTCTCACAATCGATCAAGTGTTGAATACTACAAAGGAGACAATGGTTAAACGATTGTACCTGTTACGTGTTAAGAGAAATGAATCTGAGATTTGCAAATAAGCGGAACGATGTGTGGACTTGAATCTTAAGGCTTGTTTACTTAATACATGAATCGGAGAAGTAAGGAACCAGATAACACGTAATGAGCGTATGCTCTAGTTTGATCCAGTTCATGATATTCAAGTATTGGTTTAGGAATTTTACAGAGAAAATCAAACTTTTCATATTTTCAAAAGTGTTGCTAAACACATGGAAAGTTTGAGATTGAAATGATTCTAATACTGCATGTCACCGAAAGATTACATGACAGTGAGAGAATATCACGTTGAAATTATAGAAATACAAATAATTAACAATTCTTCAACATTACGAACATTATCAGTTGATTTTAAATTAGTATAATTCTTTCATCCATCAAGCCTTAAGAGATTAGATAATCAATAAATGCTTATGGAATGACTGATTTCTAACCGTTACGCCTTCAAGCTAAAGCAATTTGAATTATGGACAATTGGGAATTGGCAATCAAGAAAGATGAAGAAAACAACTTGATCATGTTTGGTGCAAATTAGTGGAGTGCTGTTGGAACTTTAGATATTGAGAAGGGTCCATATATCCACCAACTTTTCTTTTTGTTTCTCCCGCTCATCATCCATCAACTTGCTTGAGCGTTGAATATTTGGGAGTTAGACATAAGGTACAAGGGTCCTAGGAATTTTGGTATGCCTAATTGCCTATGCACTGGCCAGAAGAAATTGTAGAAAGACGTCGATTTGTATATCTGACATGATAGCTACTTTTGCTTTTTTGTGAATGAGGATCCTGGGTCCTTTTCTTTGTGAAAATTTCAGGAATTCTTTAATCATGTTCGTTCATCGTATATTGTGCTGTTAGTTTTCGTCAGGTACTGTTTATATTCAATTTTAAATAAAAAATTTATAATGATTTCTGATCGTAAGATGTATGATGAACAGATGTAATTGAAGGATTCTCGGGATCCTCACAAATAAGATCCGAAGAGGATCCTCCTGCACTTTTTGCAATGTTAGCTTTGATTGCTGGAGTTGGATACTCTCTATTCCTAATATTTCTTTTTTTTTTTTTTTAAATGATTACGATTAAATCACGTCAATATTTTGTTTTGAATTTTTTATAGAGAGAAAATGACAAAAATGAAAGTGTGAGAGGAAGGGAGGAAAGGAAAGGAAAATAGGAGAGGAGAAAATCATACTTCTTGATTGCTAACGGTAAATTGTTACCTTTGTTCCATACAATGGATGGGATATTAATTCTCACCCTTTAACTTTCCAGAACGCAATACATGCAGCAGCTCTTAGAGCATCTCCACTCGTTTTTGGAGGACAAGAACAAATGGAGGGTAAGAACAATAAAATTGCTCTTACTATTCACTCTAAACAGTATTTGACTTTGTGCAAGTCCTCACATTTAAAGGAGGAAGGGCAAGGGCAATATATTTTTTAATATTTTCTTCGTCTTATCCTTCATTTGTTTAATTTGCAAGTGTGTGGTTTTTTTTTTTTTTTTTTTTTATTTGAATTTTGCAAGTGTACCTTTTTTAAGTGTGAACTTTGTATTAATTTTTTAAAGTTGGATTATTCTTGGCCGTTAAAATTTTCAATTTTTTAAAATCTGACGCATCACATGGCGTAGCCCCAAATTTTTTTATTTTGTTTTTACCGTTGGAAATCCAACTGCTGTTGTTGCCTCAAATTCGAATCAAAATTATATAAAGGTTTAATTGGATTAATAGTTATCGTGGTGATATGGTAGTTGGAAGATAGTCCATGTGGTAAAAAAACTAGGATTTAAACTCATGTGGTAAAGTCTGTTAGGATTTATGCCAAAAATTGAAAATTTCGTCAACTTTTTGTTAATTAATAGCACTTGAGCCAGCCCCACGTGTTAACAATTAACGGAGAGGTTTGTGTTAGCCTAATATGTATAGGAAAGTTAGGTTTTAGCCTAATATGTGTATGGAGAGTTTTGTGAGTTTTCTCTGGCCGTTTGGGCAACCCACCTCGATTCGAAAAAGTGTCATTCTGTTCTATTTTTCTATTCAACGTATCACTTAGTTTTTTTTTTTTGGTAAAATTTTTTTCACTCTAAAGGAATGTTCAATGATCTGCAGACTTGGTGTTAAAGAGATAATTTTGGTGGTTTTGCAATCATTTTATTGATTGAAATCAATGAATGCTTAGTATTAGGCTTATTACAAGCAGATTACCATTGGAAATGTTTAATGTGCAAATTGGCCTATTAGCATAGCAAATTAGCAAACATGTCTTTGAATTTTAATCATGAGATTAACGGAGCGCTTGCAAGATTATTTCATTTTGCTTATTTAGTTTGACGACCAAAAGAACGAGACTCTAAAAATCCAATTTTCTCTTTTTATTTTTTTTCATTTTATCTGTCTATTTTAATAGGCCAACCCAAAGCTAATTGTCCAAGAATTTGTCAGCCCACAACGATGAGGTTGTAATTAAGCCTAGCCCAATTCAGCTCAGGGCCTTTAGCTCTCACTCTCAGTCCCATTTGCGAAGAACTTCGGCGTTCTCTGGAAATCCCCAATTGAAAATTGAATGACATTTTGAAAAACCAGCAAGCCCTAGAGTGGCCATTGTCGCTCGTTATCACTCTCATTCTCCGCGGTTAGAGCCACCGACTCGGTAATTTTACTCTTCCCTTCCTCCATTTCTTTTAAATTTATCGTGCTTTTATTTCTGTGTTTGTAGAATTGGGTTTCCGTTGTTATTTGGTTTTTACTTGATTTTGATCCAAATGGTGTTCCGTAGGTTGTGAAAATTGGGGGAAAATGTAAAGTTTGTTAATTTAATTGGATTTAATTAGCATTTTGTATCTAGTGCTTATCCATCTATTTGCACTGCAACTGGGTCAATTTTTTGATTGCTGATTAACACCGTGACTTGATTAATTTGTTCTTGCTGGGTTAATGTATGCAACTGGATAATTTCTTATTAGCTGGTTTACGCTGTAAGCGGGTTAGTTTGCCCTCGCTGATTTACGCTGCGATTGGATTTATTTGTTCCTGCTCATTTACAGTGCAAACTGGGTTTTTGTTCATCACTGTTTTTAATCCATACTGATTATTGGGCTTGCTGAGAACCGAAGGAAGATTTGATTGTGCCGCGTCTTGGTTTTCAAGTTTTATAACATTTCACTGAACTTGTTTTGGTACTTAAATAGAGTGTGTGTTATTGGTTTTCAAGCTTTGTAATTTTGCTCTGTCAAAGTTTGTGAGCTCCCTTGTTTCTGTTATGGTGGAACTGGAGGCTGAAAGAATTTTACAATGATGGTGCATTTCATTCATTGAAATACAAGTTCTTTCAGTGCTTAGTTGTTTCAATTGTTTTACTTTTTACAAATCAAACCTTTTGTACGGTAGAGTGAGTAGGCAAAACATATGATGGATGTGCAAGCTACATTTGGACAAGAACACAAATACTATATCTGTAAAACTATGCCTTAATGATCACCATATGAGATCTTTTAATTACTTTTCTGTGCGATAATGTTTTAATGCATTTGATTGTGATATTTCATAGGGTTTATACATCCAGTAGATGAAGGAAGCTTCTTTCGTGGCACACAATTAAAAATGAGTAAATTGAGACAAATCCAAAAACCCTTTGTTCCCAAAAACCGTCTTTTGAACTTCTTCTTAGTGAGTAGATCGAGACAATTCCAGTGTACATCCGATTGTACTGTCTTGGGATGAGACTTGTTTGATTTGCAGGCTGGAGTTCTAATCTGAGCAACACATTGGGTTTTATGGGGGCATTTTTTGTTAGTAGTTGAACTGCAAAAGGTTACAGCATTGCCGCTTTATGTAAAATGTTTATGTAAGTTTGAACCCAGATTTTCATGGGATAAGACCATGCATGAGCACCTTCCACCTTGGTGAAAGTAGTTGTTTAACTTAAATACAAAGCGGTGGTTGTGGTCATGTTTGTTGTAGCTTTTCTCATGATGTATTTGATTTTCTTTGCAACTGAACTTCTCCAGTCTTCTTTCAAAAGTTGGGTACCCCTAACAGTTTCTTGCTTGGATAGGTGTTCTTCAAATCATAAAATGGGTCGGAAGGTTGGTACGGTATATATAAATCCAAAGAAATTTGGGACTTTTCACAAACCTTGCATGAAGGAAATGATAGCATTTCTCAACTGCATGGCTACTAACCAGCTCTGTGATGATAAGTGTGTAAAGCAGAAGGAACTTTTGGGTACTTGTATGGAGGCTCAGGTAGATTTTTCATTGTTCTCCTTTGGATTATGCATCTTCATTTTGTTCTCCCTTTCTTGCATCGTTTCTTTTCATTCCTTGAAGTCTATCGTAATGCACCTGATCCTTTCGCTACAGAGCAACAAAAACAGAAAGTCAATGGGAAGCATCAATTACCACTTGCAGAGGCTGAGCAGGGGAAGGAAGTAGTTTGGCTTTGTAGGGAACATTGTTTAAGTTGATGCATGATTATTTGGGGTCATCAATTACCACACAGCCATTTTTGTCCTTTAATCGTCAATTCATTTGATCCGATGACCAGAAATTAAGAGCGGTGTGTGGACAGCACAACCGTGTTTCTATTGCAACACCTGAGAGTGTTCACGTATAATTTCCCTGCTTCATTCAATAGGTATGGGAATTTCTGGACATATTGTTTTTGAAAATCTGTTGCTAATTTGGTTTAATGATATTTTCCATTGATCTGTAAACCTAATTAACTTTAAAAATGAATTAGGAAAATATCCTCTTTTTCTTCTCTTTAATTGCGAAAATATTTTTTTTTCTCTAATTTATTTAAAATTTGAATTGGATTTAAGTTCTGTTAAGTTATTTGATGGTCCTGTTTTTTAGGTAAGTGAATAGGGAAGATACACATTATGAAAAAAATTTCTTAAGATAAACATTATATTCCACATTCACTGCCATGCCCATTTTCGTCGTTTTTGCATATTTACAGTAGTTATACATAAAAAATTTTACCGAGCATTCAGACATTATTTATTTATTTTTGTTAAAAGCACTTTTATAACTAAAGTTTACAAAACATTCAGCTGCTTTATTTTACAACTATTTTTTTTCTCACTACAACAAAAGCAATTGTTATTTCAAAAAGCACATTAATACCAACCTAGTCCTAAGTCTTTGCGTCTGTATAACAAGGCTTTGTTTTATCTTTATTTTTTAGTAAATGCTCTTATCAACATGAGCTGATTCGGCTTAACATGCGTGTCCGAGAAGCTCACTTCTCAGCCCGAGGGGCCATCCTCCCGGTCCGATAGTGACGTGTTAGATGTGAGCATCGGACTAAAAACCAATCAGTCATGCAACGGTAATTTAGGATCAACAACATTACTGTTGCAAACCCTAACAGTTCGGCGAGAACGATGACACAATCCAAACAATACCTGTTTGAAACAAACTCACCTAAATCAAAAGAATAAAACAAGATTGGTAGCAAAAGAAAATTTAGGATAATAAAAAGATTATTAATCATAGGTCACAAAGAGTAGGATGGAAAATGAAAAATATGAACCGAAATTCATAAACCATAGCACCAATAAAAAAACTAAATTCGCAACATAGACATATCCAACTACATACTGTGATTGCCCAAACCAAAAGAGCAGTTCATGGAACTGAAAAAATTTATCTTAATCAACTTCCTCGATCTTCGGTCCAGCACCACCTGAAGCCGCCGGAGGAGCATCTTCGTCCGGGGCTCCGCCACCCACATCAGCACCGGCACCCTGATACATCTTGGCAATGATGGGATTGCAGAGGTTCTCAAGCTCTTTCATCTTGTCCTCAAACTCATCACAATCACCGAGCTGGTTCCCGTCAAGCCACTGAATGGCGTCTTCGACTGCATCCTCGATTTTCTTCTTGTCCGCCGGATTGAGCTTCGAACCAATCTTTTCATCCCTCACCGTGTTCCTCATGTTGTAAGCATAGTTTTCGAGTGCATTCTTGGCCTCCACTTTCTTCTTGTGATCCTCGTCCTCTGCCTTGTACTTCTCCGCCTCTTGAACCATGTTCTCGATTTCCTCCTTCGACAATCTACCTTTGTCATTGGTGATCGTGATCTTATTCTTCTGCCCGGTGGTTTTGTCCTCAGCAGAGACATTTAAGATTCCATTCGCATCGATATCAAAGCAAACGGTGATCTGGGGCACACCCCTTGGAGCCGGAGGGATGCCTGAGAGCTCAAACTTGCCCAACAAGTTATTGTCTCTAGTTCTTGTTCTTTCACCTTCATATACCTGAATCAACACACCAGGTTGGTTATCCGAATAGGTTGAGAAAACCTGTTCTTTCTTGGTGGGAATCGTAGTGTTTCGCGGGATAAGAACAGTCATAACTCCACCGGCAGTCTCCAATCCAAGTGAAAGAGGGGTGACATCCAACAAGAGCAAGTCCTGCACCTTCTCATTTCCCTCACCGCTCAAAATGGCAGCTTGCACGGCCGCACCATACGCAACTGCTTCGTCAGGGTTGATGCTCTTGCAAAGCTCCTTACCATTGAAAAAATCCTGCAATAGTTGCTGCACCTTGGGAATTCTAGTAGAACCGCCGACGAGAACAACATCATGGACAGTGCTCTTGTCCATCTTAGCATCCCTCAAACACTTCTCCACCGGCTCCATACACTTTCGGAAGAGATCCATGTTGAGCTCCTCGAATCTCGCTCTGGTTATGGTGGAGTAAAAATCAATACCCTCAAACAGCGAATCAATCTCAATTGTTGTTTGAGCAGTGGAAGAAAGAGTCCTCTTTGCTCTCTCACAAGATGTTCTCAATCTCCTCAGTGCTCTGGGGTTATTGCTAATGTCCTTCTTGTTCTTCCTCTTAAACTCTTGCACGAAATGATTCACCATTCTGTTATCAAAATCTTCACCCCCGAGATGAGTGTCACCAGCGGTAGATTTGACCTCGAAAATACCCTCTTCGATCGTAAGAAGCGAAACATCGAAAGTGCCACCACCAAGATCAAAGATGAGGACATTCTTCTCACCAACACTAGTTGCTTTCTTGTCAAGTCCATAGGCAATGGCGGCTGCAGTTGGCTCGTTAATGATACGCATAACGTTCATGCCCGCAATCACACCGGCATCCTTCGTGGCTTGTCTTTGAGAGTCGTTGAAGTATGCCGGGACTGTGACAACGGAATTCTTCACGGTTGAACCGAGGTAGGCTTCTGCTATTTCACGCATCTTGGTGAGAACCATAGACGAGATCTCCTCAGCAGCAAACTGCTTGTCCTCGCCCTTGTAGTTAACCACAATTGTTGGCTTGTCGCCGGCACCAGCAATGACCTTGAAAGGCCATAGCTTCATGTCACTCTGGATTGTGGCATCAGTGAATCTCCTACCAATCAAACGCTTTGCATCTAACATAGAGCAAACAAAAGTAAAAGTGGTCAAAATTTGGATATTAAAGCTTTGACAAAAAAGAAAAAGAAAAAAAAAGGATAATGAAAGAAACATGACTGATCAAGCAAATCATTATAAGGGAAACATCATAATCAAAGCATAAGATGCCAATAACCTAAAAACAACAATTACAACTGTACTATCACAAATCATGTTTAGATATACCAAAGATTGAGATTAAAACATTTAAAACAAGTACATTAATTATCTGTCACTGACATCAAATCTACACACGAGTGATCACAAATCTTTAGTCATCACTCAACCACAATAATCAGCCATCTCGCTTTCAAGTCCAAACATGGAGCCCAATCTCTTTTCCTATTTATCCATGATCTCAAAAAAAGAAAAAAAATATTGGAAACAAAGGCTACACTGAATTGTGATTCACAAAATTAAATCTTAATTAGGAAATGACATGTTTTCTTCTAATTTTTTTTTTATTAAAAGATGAGAGTTTTAACAAAAAACTCATGGTGCTGTTTACTTCTAACGAAAAATCACATTTTTATATTTCTCTGGTACTATTCATTACATCTTCATTTGTCATTTTTTATTAAAACTAATTTTTTTTTAAACTTTTCATTAGTTTTTCTTTAAAAGATACTATATATATCAAATATATTATGAGATGTCATACACCCCTTGATTAAAAATATGATCAAATAGTATATAATCAACGACGAATTACTATCCACATTTATTTTTTCAGATGCGACAAAATACATAAAATAAAACCATCTTATCAATCAAATCCAATTTATATTTGCTTACTTGAGTCATCACACATGCACAAATGAATCACAATGACCAATTTAACCTTTAACCTTATCAAACCACCATGAAACCCTAAGACACACAATCTTTCAATCAAAGGTCATATTAGACAAATCATGCATGCAATCTGCAGATACGAAACAATAAAAAACAATTAAACGAGGTTTAGATGTGCAGGTATACTCACCAAAAACAGTGTTGACGGGGTTCATGGCGACCTGGTTCTTTGCGGCATCGCCAATCAAGCGCTCAGTGTCGGTAAAACCAACGTAGGACGGCGTCGTCCGGTTACCCTGATCATTGGCTATGATCTCAACACGATCGTGCTGCCAAACGCCGACGCATGAGTAGGTGGTTCCAAGATCGATGCCGATCGCTGGACCCTCCCCTTTTGCAGCCATTGTTGAAAACTTGTAAAAAACCTTTTGAATGAAATTTTCTTTTTTGTGAGTAGTATGAAGGTGAATTAGGTTATACTGCTGAACCGATGGTTACATGTAGATATATAACAGAGTAAACCTTCTAGATCGAGTTGTGTGGGATTTCATAGACCGAGTTTCCAGAAGCTTCTTCTCCAACTGTTTCCATATTTTATAGCGAATGTGTGGTTTGACAGAGTAAAACTGGAATATGAGATTTTTAATTTTTCTGTTTTTATTTTTTCTTTCTAAAACATGAGTTTCTTAGCTTAAGAGTTGGGAGAATAAATTGGTTATGAACTTACCATTTACGAGATTTGAACTTAAAAATTATTACTTAAAATGTAATGAAATACCAATAGAACTTAGTTGTAAATGACAAACATGAGTTTCTTTTTTTGGTGAAATGGCAACGGTTGTATTAGAACGTTAAGAAGATCTACAAATTTATGAATATTTGGACCAAACAACGTACTGTGACACTTCAAACGTTGTGATTAAGTTGTACAAGGAATATATTTAAGGCTAAATTGGAGCAAAGGTATCTAATCTATACTACGAGTTCAATTTTCATATCTAAACTCTACTAATAGCTCGAATTATGTCATTTGTTGCACTAGTAATTATTTTAATTAACTCCGTCAACTTTTTCATTAAGTTGAGGGATAAAGTAGAAATTTCATCCAAAAAATAAGAAAATAAAATTTTAAAGAGAAAGACTTGCCTCCTCGAGGATTGAGGGGATTGAGGGAGAACTCCTCCTTAAAATATCTTGTGACCTATTCACGAAACTTTTTGATTATGATCAGAACTCCTTAAGGATTGACAAAGTGATTTTAGTTTTAATTATTTTTTGTTCATCTTTAGATTAAATACCCATTTTACCCCATAACTAAAAGTTGATGGAGTTAACGAAAAGTCCACAAGTGCAACACGGGGCATAATTTGAGAATAAGAGCAACTATTAGTAGAGTTCAGAGATCAAAACTAAACTTATGGTCTGACTTAACGACCTTTGCTACAATTTAGCCTATATTTAAATGACTCAATGTAAAATAAAATTAAAAGAAATCCTCTCCGGTCATCGATATGCCCTAGCCGTCGTTCATCTTAAACTCTCTCTCTCTCTCTCTCTCTCTACTTATTGCCTCCAGCCACCACCACCACCAAGATTCCTCCTCCCACCCCCTTCTTGCCATCGCCGTCACAAATCAGCTACCGCCACCACAAACCGCACCGGACTGATCGAAAACCGAATGTCAGTAACCGACACTGTCGGTATCAATCGGTGTCAGCTTGGAAAATACGCATACCAACAAAGTGGGTTCGGTAATCGATTTTTGGGTTTCTCCTGTGGGCTTGGACATTCTGTTACATTTGTGGTTTTCTATAGGGGCATATGAATCTCGGTTCTGTTCCGTAGTACTTGTATGAGGTCTAATCCATCTATAATCAATACCAAGTTGTGGTCCAAAATAGTATTACCCCATATGTCATTCTCCCATACGGCAACCTCTTGTCCTTTATTCCCGAGATTTACGTCCTAAACTTTACTGCTCTCTCTAAATTCGGCTGTTACAGTCCAACCAAAATAAATTCAGCTGTTACAATTGATAACCCGTTTGAAGTTGCTGCAAATGTCAATGTGGAATCTCCGAATCTAGGAAAAGTTGTCTTTCTTTGGAGAAATTTTTTGTAATATTATGCGCTGGTATACATGAACTGATATGCTTCTACAAATTCTGTGACTAGGTATTGTTTGTGAAGTTAAAATATGTGAGAAAAGGATTTTTACTAAACCTTCTTCACAGGTTTGAAAACAACCAATCCTTGGTTTAAAATTTGTTGTGAATCTGCAAATTATTTTGTATGTGGTTGGCAATGGATCAGTAATGGGGTTTATAATAGTGAAACCAATTATCCAATTTTTATGTGTTTAATGAACCTGAACTTCTAATTAAGGGACCTAATATGTAGGCGAGTTCCTTTAGTGAACATATTCATGTGGATGTGGTTTATAATAGATGTAATGAACCTATTAATTAAAGTGGTTTGTAATGTTAATGAAACCTGCATAGAAGAGTGGTGGACCTTTCATGTAGGTTTATAATGTGAATGAACCTCTGCATGTGAGTTCTAATTTCTAATGTTAAGCATACATATGTTGAAGGACCTCTTGGGGTTGGTTCAGTGTATCTGATTAGCTGTAAAATTTTGTGCAAAATTTTGGCCAACAACTAGCTCAAAGGCAACAATTGCGACAGCCCTAGAATCATTAAACTGACACACAGTACGAAATAGAGAGAAACTTTTGTCAAAAATATATGAATGATAATGTTGTGAACTAGCTAGTAGATACAGAGGTCTTGTTTGTTCTAAAACTTAGACATGTGTTAATGAACCTGTCTATGTGAATACAGTACGATTATACCCAGTTTTCATACATATATGATTACCTGATGCAGAAGTAAGAATCGACAACAGGAAAAACATGTAGTATAGTGGATTCAAATTTAAAATTTAGTTTTGGGATTAATATGTAGGATAGTGGATTCAAATTAAGAACAAAAACAAATATAAATGCGTAAAACTACCGGTACAATCCCTTTAAAGAAAAAACTATTTTATAAGTATAACAGTAAATAGTTGTTTTCTGCCTTTTACAACACTAAAGTGAAATAACTTCACTTATCTTAAAAGCTGAATGAATTCCTAATCAATAATCATCTTAAATTTCTAATAAAGATCGAAAAGTGTAACTATTTATGTCAACCTAATGCCAAGCTGAAGATCAGCAATGATCTAAAATGCAGCTTAGTCGAAGGATAAAGAACTGAAAATAACTTTAGTTTCTACAATGTTATTATGTCTTCCGGACCCTAGCTAATCTCAGCATGCAGTCTTGGCCAGACTAAACCTTGTCTCAAATTTTATTATTTTTGTCGTCATACAGAGACACACACATATAGATATATATATAGGTTTATACACACACACACACACACACATTTCTGGAGATATATATGTTTGGTCGATCCTCATGTGTTGTGAAGCTGTGATAGGTGATCAGTCCAGATCATTCTTTTGATCAGATTAAAGCTGTGCTGATGCATGCATGAAGAAGAGCTGCTTTAATCTTTGGTAGCAGATTTGTACACTCCCACAGCAGCGGTCACTTCAGTTGTAGCTTTGCGAAATCCCTACGATCCCCATGATTTGAATTCGAATGGCCCAAATCCCTTGTTATTTTCTCGTATGGCGCTAACCACGCCTCCTAGGGTCCTAGCTAGCTAGTCTATAAAGTGAACCAGCCAACTAATAATGCCATCTCTAACTGAGGGCTGGCTAGATGGCTCGTTTCAGCCTTTTAGCCCTCCAAGATATTAATATTTTAATGAACAGTATATGGCTATATTTGCCTCCATCTCCAACTGAGGGCCAAAGGGCCAGAGGGCTCGTTTTAGCCCTGTCACAAAAACCCGTCTCCAACCGAAGCCCATAGGGCCAAACATAATTTATTATTTAAATTTAAAAACTACAACAACTTAAATTTAAAAACAACAACAACTTAAATTTAAAAACTACAACTTATATTTAAAAATGACAAATTAAATTTAAAAACTACAAATTAAATTCGAAAACAACATTAACTTAAATTTAAAAACTATAACAACTTAAATTTAATATCCATAATCAACATCATCTTCATCATCCACCATCGTAGGAGTATAGTCAGAGGTAAACAACTGTCGTCGGCTCATAATTTCTTTTTTTTTTTCCTATCAAAATAGGCCTTACTCTTTGGAGTGTAATTCGAAGTGTTCCCTTCCATATTCTTCTCATCCATCTCTTCTTGTATTTGTTTGGCCCGTTCTTCATGCCTACACTTCCTTTCTTCCGCCTCAAAAGCGTTTTGCTCCGCCAATAATTGCAATGAGGCTGCCACTTCATGTTGAGCGGTGTAATCATCATTTGCCTTGCCCTTTTCCTTCAACCTTCGCGCCTTGTTTCGTCCTATAGCCCTAGGTATGGAACCTTCACCCGAAGACAGATTTTCTACCCTTGTTTGTTGAATGGTTGGAGATCCATCTTCATCCATATCTACAGCTAAGGATGCAGTTCCGAACACCGGCGTAGGAGCTCTTTGTGGTGGATCTTCAAATAACACCCACCCTTTACAAATTTCCCAACAATTGTGAAACTGAAAAGGTTTCGAGCTGCTGTCCATATACAATTCCTCCGCTTGGTGTACCTAGAAAAAAAATTAAAGGAAATTAATTTATGAAATTAAATGTAATATAATTAAATATTTCAAATAAATTGTGAAAACACTTACTTCGTCGTAGTAATTAGCGCCGCTTTCATGTCTACTTGCGGCTGCTAACAATGCTTGATGTCATTTGTTCAAACTTGGCTGAAGATGTTTCTTCCATCTTGAAGAACAAATCTCGTGGTTTCGAATATTCACTGGAGTGGTGTCTTCATAGAACTCTAAGTATTTTTTGGACACATGAGTCCAAACACCGTCATTTGTTTGACAATTCCCCCTCACACTATCTCTGACACCCATCTATAAGCCTTGCAAAGAGCTTCATCTTCTTTTCGGGTCCAAGCCCTACCTTTCATTGCAGACAAGGCCATTTCAAAATTATTAAAAAAATTGAAGGATAGATTTTTGAAAGAGGAAGGAAAATATGAGAATTGAAATGGTGTAGGAATAGTGAAAATTTTGTGAGGAATGGTTTAGGTATTTATAGGAAAAAAAAATAGATTTAAAAAAAAAAAAATTGAATCCAACGGTAAATGGCGCCAGCTAGCCGTTGGATTCAAAATTCTTTTTAAGAATTCATGTCGGTTATAACCGACATGATTAATCAGTTTTCTAGCTAGCCCTCCAGCCCTTTCAGATTTCGTGGGGGCCCTCTCAGATTCCACAAACCCTCTGGCCTAGCCCTCGGTTGGAGACGGTTTTCGGGCTATTTTCGGCCTTTTGACCTTTTGGACCCTTTGGTTAGAGATGGACTAATGGTACTT